CCGTACTCCGCAGGCATAAAGGTCTCGCATGATTCCATATCTCCAGGTCGTGTCGTACGCCTTCTCCAGGTCAAAAAATACAGACACACAGTGCTGCCTCTTTACAAAAGCCTCCCGGATTCTTGTCTCGAGGCGCACGAGGTGATCTAGAGTAGACCGGCCTTGGCGGAAACCACACTGATTGTTATCAAATAGGTTTTGTTCTTCAAGAAAAAACACCAGCCGTTTGTTGATAAGTCTTTCGTACGTCTTACCAAGGCAGCTCGTAAGGGCAATCGGGCGGTAGCTCGAGCAAAGAGAGGGGTCTTTGCCAGCTTTCAAGAGGGGTATAACATGTGCTCTTTTCCAGGATTCAGGGAAGTAAGCTTTTTCCCAGAGAAGGTTGAAAAAACTAAGCAGATGTTGTAGGGGCAGCCTACGAAGCATCTCATAGTGGATGAAATCAGGGCCTGGGGCAGACTGTTTCCTGATGTCAAGAGCCAACTCCAGTTCACGGAGCGTAAAGGGCTGGTTGTATGGTGTAGAAATTGCCCCCGACATAACTATTCGCTCGCATTCTGCTTTCATTTTAAACTGCTTAAAAGTGGCACTGTAGTTTTCAGAACTCGAAACGCTCTGGAAGTGAACGCCAAGAGTATTGCCTAAGTCTTTCAGTGATGTGGGGACATTCTTGAACAATGAAGGGATAATAAAACAGCGGTAATCTCCTTTGATTTTGCGATAACGGTCCCACACCTCCTTTGCGGGGACAAAGCTGTTCAGTAAGGAGACATATTTCGTCCACGATTTCTTTTTTGCTTGCCTTCTAGTCCAGCGGGCTTGAGCTTTTCGCCTTTTAAATTCAATCTTGTTATTTACGGTGGGGTACCGTCGAAATATGCCCCAAGCTTTTTCTTGTTTCTTCATTGTCGTGGAACATTCTTCAGTCCACCAGGGCCTGCACTTTTTTGGTAATTTCCCAGAGGTGCGAGGAATAGATTGTTCTGCAGCCTCAATTATCTTCTTAGTAACATAGGCTGTAGCATCATCTGGAGACAAGACTGATAATAAAGAAATATGAAATGTTGCAGATGAGCAAAAGAGTTCCCAATCCGCTTTGTCAAGGCGCCATCTCGGCGTACATTCTAAAAGCGTACTAACAGCAGCTAGGCTCTCTACGACAATCGGGAAGTGGTCGCTCCCGAATGGGTTTTCTAAAACCTTCCAAGAAAAACAAGGAAGCAGAGAGGGCGATGATAAAGATAAATCGATGCAGGTGAAGGAGTTATGAGCATCACTAAAAAAGGTTGGAGATTTTGTGTTTAAAAGACAAAGATTCGATGACAATAAAAGTCGTTCTATGAGTTCTCCACGTGAGTCAACTCGTGCACTGCCCCACATGGTGTGATGAGCATTAAAATCGCCTAATATTAAAAAGGGTTGTGGTAGTTGGGCAATGAGCTTTTGAAGTTCACGCATGTGCACTGTGATCTGTGGCGGAAGGTACAATGAAACAACGGTGATTAAACGGTCGATCAGAACCCTCACAGCCACTGCCTCGAGCGGAGTGTCCAGGGGCACCTCGGCACATGCCACCCCTCTCTGCACAACAACTGCCACACCACCGGCTGAATGAGATGATGGGCGGTCTTTACGAAAAGTGTGATAGGACCGTAAAACATTTGTATGGCTGGAATTCAAATGAGTCTCCTGCAAAGCCAGAGCTATCGGTCGTAGCTCACTAAGAAAAAAACTAATGTCATCAATGTTGCGTAGGAGACCTCGACAGTTCCATTGCATAAAAGAAAGATGACCCATAAAAATTATTTAAAATCGATAAAAAGTTGTGGGCAAAAGTGCATAAAAATATCGGTGTGGCTGCCTTTTAGTGAAATCCCCTAAAAACGTATAAAAAAAGGTAAAAAGATACCTATATATAGTTCAGCTAATTTTCTTTCGGAGCTAAAATCCGAGGAATATTTCTTTTCTTTCTAGCATTGTCTTTCTGTCGTTCTGCAGGCTCACCCGCGGAAGACGACAAGGACTCCGCTCCCGAAGGAAGCAAGTCGTCATCTGAAGCTAGACCGGCCTCTTCCATTTTCTCTTTCGTTGATACCTCTGGGCCCCTCAACGAGACTGCCTCGTCAGAGTGACCCGGCTTTCTCGCAATGTCGGTCAGGCGAGTGGGCTGTGCCCGGCCTCTGCCTGACGAGCCGGCAGGCACCTGGGATGCCTGCGCTGATTGTTTTTGGGGTGCAGAGGAAACATTGCCTGCCTTCGAGCATGAAGGCACAGGGGTGGCAGTTTCCATGCTACCCTCGGTGGATGGGACATTGACCTCCATGGCCTCCTCCACCCCCTGTGCAGAGGAAGGAGGGGATCCCTTTCGGACTTGGGAACGGGTGGGGTCAAGCACCACCCGAACCTTCGGGGCCAGGCGTTGCGGAAATGCCTTGGACTTCGTGAGCTTCTGTGGGGCCTCAGGCGTCTGAGATCCCACAGAAGTCTCTGTAGGGGTGAGGGGACTGGGTGGGCACTCAGTGTCTCGAAGACTATACTGGGTACCCACTGATGCCTTTGACAGCGACCTAGTCCCCCTGACGGCCGCCTCGGCGTATGTTCCTCCTTGAAGGAACGAAAAGCGTTTTCGTGCCTCATGGTAGCTCAAGTTTTCCTTTGTTTTTAAGGTTAAAATTTCTTTCTCCTCTTTAAACTTTGGACACGATCGCGAGTAAGCAGGATGGGAACCAGTGCAGTTGATGCACTTAGGGGTTGAGCTGCCACACGTATCTGTTGGGTGGTCTGTGCATGCACACTTTGCGCAGGTTGTTTTTCCGCGGCAGGTGGCAGAGCCATGACCAAACCGTTGACACTTGAAGCAGCGTCTCGGGTTCGGGACGTATGGGCGCACCTTACAGTGGAGGTAGCCCACCTTGATACTTTGAGGCAGCACAGTGGAAGAGAATGTAAGTACAATATGTTTTGTTGGTCGCTCGTTTCCGTCTTAACGAAGCAGGATTCGTCGTACTGCCGTTACTCCTTGACTGGAAAGACCTTCCAAAATCTCCTCGTTACTTGACTCTAGCAAATCATCCTCGGAAATTACTCCTTGGCAATTATTTAGTGTTCGATGTGGAGTGACGGAGACTCTATACTCAGAAATCTTGTTTAGGTCCAAGAGGGCAGCACTCTGTGTGCCATTTTCCACTTCAACAAGCAAGTCACCAGATACTAGCTTCTTTGCTTTGAAGTTTTTGCCTACAAGGGTTTCTAGGGTTTTTGCGATCAGAAAAGGTGACAACTTCGCAAGAGGTTTTTCGTCTTGTTCAGAGTGCATAACAAGGAATCGGCTAAAAGTGTTCTGTACCGGTGAAGACTTATCATTCAGTTTTACTTCGGTCCGACCTCTTTTCAGGGGCCGATCAGAGGGTTTAGAACGGAGGGGTGCCATAAGAGGGGCAAAGAATGTTCAGAATCCGCGGTGCACCGCCCACCACCGAGCCCAACAAGGGGTTAGGTAACGCACCATAACAAGAAGGGCTTGGCTGGAGACGTTACGCTAACAGTGCTGCCGGGAAACTATACCCAAGTGTGGGTCAAGACAGAGGTCTATTGCCACCCAAGGTTAGCCCTTGCCGCCAAAGAGGGGTGAAAAAGGAGGAAGAGAAATGAGAGAGAAATAAAAGAAGCAGGAAAGGTAAAGGTAAATGATTGGAGGGGATAGTAGAAGAGAAGGCGACTAGACTGAATCATCCTGGCCGGGCCTTACCAGGACTCCCGTCTACAGGAAGCAGGGGCCAAAATGGTGTGTTGCCTCGCCCGGGGGGCCCCGAAGGGTCCAAACCTACCCCGGGCTCAGCTCAACCACCAGGATGCCCTTTTCCCTGGACACAGGCTCGCCACGCACAGTCAGACGTGGGTGGGTCTTACCCACTTGTTACTCAGGGTCCGTTATGTAGCCAACGTGGCTGGGGTCCGTGGTGACGCTACTCACCAAGCACCTAGCACCTAAGGTGCAGGCGCTTCCTGCGGGGCTCAGGGTCCGTGGAGACGCCACTCTCCAAACACCTGCTTTCACGTGCCCCCTGCGGGGAGGCGTGATATCAAAGACGTGTGTTGGTCTATAGAGAGAGTTAGGCCATTCATTGGGAAATATAGGAGGCAAATGAGGAGGTACCATTGGCCAAAAGCGGGCTGGGCATGTTCCAGGGCGTCTTCACAAATTTGAATGTGGCCAAAAGTTCGTAAATAATACCCTGGCAGTCGTCACGAGAAACGAAATTAATAAGTGCGTCGGAGTAACTCTCGGTGACTGAAGATACGGTGCACGTGATGTTTCAATCACAGTCATCCAAAATCATGGTGGAAGAGCGCAACAAGCTGAACAATCGACATAATCCGCACGCCAGGCGCCGAGGGCTGGGAATCTGCTGTAGGGGCGGTCACACACTGTCCGAGCAAAATACAGTTCGAGCAGCACTTTCGTTCCTTACAATTTTTTGCATGATCATAATCGAAATATCACGTGCACCGTATTTTCAACCATTACCCCTTACGCACTTATTAAAACTGTGTCTCGCTATCACCGCTAGGCAATTCTTTTCGGCTTCTGGTTGGCCAAGCGAGCATGCCAATAAGCCCTCTCTCTGCGTCTGGTGCACGAACTAGCTCTGCCCACTCCTCCCATTGACCAAACTCTCTCAATACACGGCTCTGTCACTAGAATGCGAGATACACCCCCCCCCCCCCCTTCCCCCTTTTCTCTCCCGCCTGCGTTCACGCCAGTCTGTGGCGGCTCATTACAAAAAAGTTAACCCCCCTGACCCACCCGTACACGACGCTTCGCGGCGAAGGTCTCATGCAGCTTATTAGTAATTACAGAAGAAAGCTAATATAAGCTATCAATGAAACGATTTGTCGATGAAACGTCGTCCTATGAAACATGGCGTGTCGATGAAACGATCTATCAATGAAACGTCGTCCGATGAACCGATTGCCACCGGCGTTAGCGCGCAGCTCACCATCATATCTGGGCTTTCCGGCAACTCCTTGAATTCCGAGAAGTAGACCATACAAAACTGATGAATGTTTTCGTCCGCCTCGACCATAATCACTGAATATTCTCCGGCTTGAACCTGTAAACACAAGCACATGACTCATTCATAGAAAGAGAGAGAGAGAGAAAAAAAAAGAAATTGCAGCAACTGTTACTTACATGGGAGACAAACAGTGATATCACGATCACGGCGAACCTTGCCAGCTGAGACAACGAACTTGGTAACGTCCACATGTTTTTTGGCAGTGCAAGTTCAATCACAGGTTTAAAGGGATTGCGAACAGCTTAGGAGCAGCAGTCAAGACATCGATTGAGGCGCCGATAAAACGGCAACGTTTGCCAGACCGTGCCTACGAATCATCAGGCTAATCGGTGCGCCTATCCCCACCTTGTCAAATTTAGCTGCGTGCACTTCTGCTCCAGGTTTGACGATGAGTTGACACGGTTTCGGTTAGCCGAGTCCGCGATAATCAGCCCTATCCGAGGCGGAGTCAGCCATTCCTTCCACGGCACCTGACTGACTTGGCGCTGCTTGGCAGCTTGCACAAGGCACCAGGTATTTACCAAGCTAAGCTTTTTTTTACGGACAGTGTCGACGTGGCGCCACTGTACACACAGGATTTCTTCTCGGCTTCTGGGTGGTTTCGATTTGGTATTCGGACTTCGGGACCGTCCACACAATTGACCCAGAGGTAAAAAATTTGGTTTGCAGGAACGTTGTACTCTCCCCATGTACTTTTATCTTTTCACTACTCATATGTTTGTAGATATCGCAGAAACTCGCCGTTCAAATATCACTATCGCGTCATTTCAGTCATTCATACTTCGCCACTTCGCTTACAGCCTCGCGCGAGAACGACATATCAATTTGAATTTTGCAATACTGGTTGGCTGTTTGAAGTGTTGGGTAAAATTACGTCGGCTGAAATGTACTTCAAATGCTCCCATAAAGTATACGCTATGCTTGAAGTATCCATGTTTTCGTGTTTTTTTCCCCCCGAAAAGTCGGAGTTTATGATAGATTTCCAATTCTCCGAAATTCAAAATTTAATTTGGCTGTAGGCCCAATTTTTTTAATCAATATAGAAACAAATATTATCAGGACTAAACTTGCCCTAAATTCATACGATCTCAATTCGCGCGCACTTGCCATTGGTAATACTAACCGCCCCACAACGAAGCTTGCAAACAAGTGTTGCTTTAATAAACGTAGATATATTAAAATCATTGTAATTCTCGACGTAGCCTCTGAAAAACTCTTTTTCTTTTCATCTGATTCCGCCGCTCCATCGTGCGGCTGCGCAGAGTAAAGTGGTGAGACAGAATGCTGCCACCCCCCCCCCCCCCCCCCCCCCCGCCTTCTTTTAAAAAGCCCGAACTAAAACTTATAACAGTGGCTTTTGTCGTGACACAAAATTACACTGACTCGTTGTCCTGAACAAAGATTAACGGGATAAACGGTGAACCCCCTTTTGTCAATCGTCTGATATTTAAAAAATAATTAATTGGGGTTGTATATTGATACAGCGTGTAGTCAGCCATTTCAAAGTTGCGACGAGTCACTCGCTGTAGATGAGCAATTTAGCTAGTGCAGTACAACCGCTAGCCTGGGGTCTTTTAACGTGCACCAAGTAGTGATACACGACCGCACGCCGGTACGATGCTCATCCAGATTAAACCTAAAATTGATAAAAGAAAAAAAAAAAAGCTGAGTTTGTGCCTTGACCAATTTTACTTATAAAGTAACGTGTTTTTTTTTTTTTTTTTTTTTTTTTTTTTGTCTTTTTGCCATTTCGACATCGGAGTTTGGAGCTTTTCGGATAAGTCCGAATCGACGAAATATTTACTGACGGGTGTTTTTGCGGATTTTATCAGATTTCTTTGAAAACACGAAACCCTAAACTGTGTACATAAAAGCTGTAGAATACACCAGAATCATTTTGCAGGATTAGTAAATAAAACGGGATTGAATCAAAGTTAAATGCAACTACTTATTCAACATCATCATCAACTCTAGAAAAGAAGAGGGACCCACTTCTCTTAAGGAATACTACTGTCACGAAATTATCAGTGACTTGTTTCTTTGAGGCATTTGAAGGGACTTTGTGGTAACTTGTGTCGGTCGCGGTTCAGATGCAGCGCCCGCAGCTCCGGAGCACGTGAACCGAAACCCCGCGCAGCAGAACTGGGACTGTGATAGGGTTCAATCGTCGTTCGCGCAAGTTTTGACGTGGATGATCATTGTACCGGAGCGCCTCTCCGTAGCAGCCGCTCACGCTGGCCAATGCGGAACGCTTGTTCGTCTGGACCTTGCACAGGGGTTTCGATGATGTCAAAATACCGAGCTCTTATTAACTGGTTAAAAAAAAAAATTGTGAGTAGACCATAAGGCACCTAGCACTGAAGTCTTCCTACTATCTTTTCAATCACGCGCTCGCACTGTCACTTTTTCCGAGTCATTCTTCCCCCGAGCAGCTCCAGACTGGAACGGCCTTCCCCAGCACATTGCTGCCATCACCTGCCCATCAATCTTCTTCGAAAGTGTTACCAATCATCTCTCATCCTGAAGACTTGCACCTATGTTTGATTATTTTTGTAACCCCACCCCTTATGTAATACCCCCTAAAAGGGGGTCTTTAAGGTAATAAAATTAAATGAAATTAAATGAAAAGCCAATCAGAGCTCGGTGTCATTCTCACGTCATTGCAAGTCCTTTGCAGGAAGCGGACGACTTGCTCTCTGCATAGGCACCCAACCATGCACGCGGCAAGCGCTGACCTTGGACTGGTTTGGATCACACTTATCCAAAGTTCGCATCGTCGCCACGGGATGGCACCATAGCACCACTGGATGTGGAAGCCGGCTAGGAAAGACCTAGTGCAAGCGCCGACAGATGGTAGCGGGTTGCATATTTCGAGAGGCTAGGCGATAGGACGCATAGCAACAGAAACGGAGCGACGCCGTGACGTAACACCTAGCATCCGAAAATCGCCAACGACGTACCCCTCCGCCAATTTTTGTGCCGCGCGGTGGGGGACGGCGAGTGTATCACTGGGGCGCGTGTTATCCTTCCCCCCCCCCCCCCCCAAACACACACACACAAATATGTTTTTGTTGTTTTTTATTAGGCGATTTATTAGGGTGTCAGAACACTAGTCAATCAATATTTTGCTAGAGCGTCACGAACCGACACTGAAACTCGACTGGGGAGGAAGAAGAAATGTAGAGGAGAGAGCTGCAACTCACCCAACCGCGTTTTTTTTTTTTTTTTTGATTGTACGAAGCAAACGAAAAAAAGCGCACGTCGCACGTTCCGCGTTTCACGAAAAATGCAAAGTTCAAACACTTCGTGCTTGACGTTTACGCGTTTTTCAAGACCAATTCGTGTTCATAAGGCGAGCTATGTCTTCAGCAGTACACGGCGGAGCCTTCGAGAGAATCAGCCTGGTGGCCGGGCGCGTCGTAGGAAATAAATCCTGATTGTTTTGATCGGTAAAAGATTTCTTTCGAACAGACAGACTCGTCGGTACCGCGAACAACAGCTCTGGAGTAGAGGTCCCACGCCCGTCGTCCGCCGGATTGTACACTTCGTTCAGTTACACTGTGCTTCAGCCGCCCAGCCCGCGACTCCCGCAATCACCTGACAACGCGCCACGAGCATCACTGCGCCCCTTCTCAAGGTCACGTGACACACTCATGACGTTGGATTGACTAAGATTGACTCTGATCGATCGCAGCATCCTCTACGATGGCATCCTATATAGGGGGCTATGGTAGATGATATATAGGAGGCTATACCTCTACGACCTATCGTCAGGTGAAACCGAGCATATTTGGCGGTAAGTGGTAAGTATAATTAAAATGTTGCAATTATCGAGGCCAATAAGGTAATTGAGTTAAACAATAATTGTTTAGAATCCAAGTTAATAGACTACAAACACTAATTACTCGAAATGTAAATAAATTAAGGGAATTCAGTTAGAGTAATTGAGTCATCAAGTACGCACCACCATATGCCATTTCAAGTCAGACCAACTTGTCATTGTCAAAACCCTCACACAATTTTTTTATCTCGCGTGGATATGTGTAAGATCCACAATATTGTGTACTGAACTGACTTCGGTTAATAATTTTCGTCTTATCAGCTTCCTTCGATGATTCTCAGAATTGTCGCATAATCTGAGAAGGTGATCAAGGAGTTACTACTTCACGGGTGACGAAGTTTTCAGTGAATAGGGGGCAGCCGTAAGTACCGACACAATTGGCACGCCTTGCAAATTTTAAATTCCAAACGTACACAGCTGAAATTGGGTATGCGAACGTCGTTTCGCAAGAAGTTTTATGTCTTTTATTTTTTATTTTTATTTTTAGAGCTAAACTCAGAGATGATGAAATGGTAAAGAAAAGCAGAAACGGCGGCCGTGCATTCGTCGTCTGCAGACTAGTTTGAGAGCTCGCTCCCGGAAGCCTTTAATGAACGGGAAAACATTGAGAACGCCATAGTAGAGGTTGGCAACGAGCAGGATTAGAGCGCCTTCATACACGCCACACAAAAATGGTCTATGGTCGTCTATGGAAAATTCTATGGCAGGCTATCACCCCCTATGGCCTTCTATGGTCGGCCATAGAAATCCATAAATACAGCTACAGCCAGATATAGAAAAATCTATGGTCCTGTGTTTAAAGACTGGGAACAAATAAATTTTCTTTACCCGCTTATATAAAATTCTATGGCGACGAGTCTAAAGACTGGGGATTTTTAAATTGTCTTTACCCGCCTATGGAAAGTTCTATGGCCCTGAGTCTAAAGAGAGGGGAGCAATAAATCTTCTTTACCCGCCTATAGAAAATTTTATGAACCACAGTCTAAAGATAGGGAACCAATATATTTTCTTTACCCGTCCATTAAAAATTATATAGCAACAAGTCTAAAAATTCCTCCTCCATGCTCGTGGCGGCAGCGGCGGTCTGCTAAACGATCTACTAAAACTGTCAACACGGGCTTGGGAACTTTCTGACTTGGGCAACTTGATGTTTTCAAGTGGTCGCATTATATCACCGAAGACAGTCTCACTTTAGTCGTCTGCTGTGATACCCAAGTCATGGTTCGTGGGTCTTGATCACTCCCGGCACCAGGCTTATAACAGGAAAGACGCTCCAGGTTAGAAAATTAAAGCAATACTAAATTTCTGTAATACCGGTGGCAAAGCATGACCCAAGATATGTTCTCTGCTGTTGCAACGAATCTTGAAAACCAGTAATATTGTTTGCTTGAAAAATTAATCAAAATAGTTGTGCAACAATTAAAATTAATTATTACCCCACCAAAACTGAAAATAGATTACACTGCAATCAAGCAATAGCTTGATTGCAATGTTTACCACCAGTGTACTGCATTTCAACACTTCATTGTCAACACGATTCATCAAACTTATTAGAAAGAGAATTAATAAAATTTAGTTAATTAGCCTTATGATCTACATTTCCTTTGCTCAGGGTGTTGAATTAAGAGATGGGGGCTATTCCAAGAAACAATTCAAATAATGTATTAAGTACGAGAAA